AGCTTTTGTTTCTTCACTGTGAAAACAAAACAGGAATTAGTCTTAGTGTTTCTTTAGAAGGTTCTCATGTGGATTAAGTGAGGTGAGTAAGGCACGTGAAGCAGCTGGTCTTGAAGTCTCACCCAGGACATCTCAGGCAGCGTTTATGTTGTCGATACTGAGTCAGGTTTGCAGGAAATGGGAACGAGCAATGTATTTTCTGTGTTTTAATTCCTGCAATTTGGATTGTATATATATATATATATATTTTTTTTTGGTGAGGAAGATGGCCCTGGGCTAACATCCGTGGCCATCTCCCTCTACTTTATATGTGGGACGCCGCCACAGCATGGCTTGATGAGCGGTACATAGGTCCACGCCTGGGGTTCCCAGCCTGTGCACCCCGGGCCGCTGAAGCAGAGCACACGAACTTAATCACTACACCACTGGGCTGGCCCTGGATTGTATATTTTTTGTCCCAAACTTTTTGGATACTAGAAATAACCATTTTATTCATACCCAGATTTGGGCGTACTTCATGACTGGAATTCCATTTTTCTCCCTTGCATACAAATGTTGATTTTCTCTTTGCTCTCTCAATGACATCGCATTTCAGATGGCAATGGAATTATCCACTCTGGATTTGGGAATTCAGAGAGTATGAGGAACAGCTGACCAAACAAGCTATATTATAGTGTTTGGGGAAGATGGGGTGTTTTATGGGGCTGCTATCCAAGCTTAGCTCAGAGGATGGTCATAGCACCCTGGTCTGCATCTGCTTGTAAGTCCATTTAATAAACCTCAACTCCTCCATAAATTCAGTTGCCACTCAGCTGAAAAAGTTTCCTGATAGACAGACTGCCAGAGGAAGAGGAGGCTGCAGGCTCCCCAGAGTCTTGAGTCCTCCTGGAGACAGCACTCCTCTCACTGAGTCTCTAACCAGGCCTCCCATCCAGCACAAAAGATCCTGAAGGAATGAGAGTGACTTTTCAGCTCCTATTGGGTGACATCTTGCACTAAAGGGATGACCTCCTTTGACCTCCAGAGAGATTTTGGAAGAGATCAGAGCCAAGTGAGTTGAGCCTGGACATTTGTCATCAGATAAAGTGACCTAACCTTCTCTCTCAAGGACCCACTTAGGAGCCTGATTTCTTCCCAAAGCTTTCTGAAGCAGCCTCCAGCTCTCCTGAACTCTGACCTCCCCCTTAAATCACCACCAATAACAGTGACACTCTCTGGCCTATGTCCAGCTTGCTGCAAACTAACCTCTATCCCAGCCACCTGGCCTGAAAGGCCTGCTCAGCTCTCCTCTATGGATCACACTCACCAACTCCCCGCCCATGCCCTGGGCTGGCTGCTGGGCTCCCAGGCTGAGGGCCCAGCAGACACTCCTCTCACAGCCCTGCTACTACTGCTTCAGCTGCCAGGACTCCGAACTCCCTGGCACGTCTGTACCAAGAGGGCTTTGGCTCAATCCAGCCTGGCATTGTTCATGCTTAGATAATGACCTTGAGCATGCTTGCTGTTCTCCACCCCTAAGAAAAATCTGGCCTAGGGCTGCCAATGTGGCAGAGGATGTGGGTCTAAGCACCTGGGCTGGCTGGGGCTACGGATCGCCATGTGGTTTGAGTACCTCTGCTGGGCCATCCCAGGAGCTCATCATATGCTAGTCACTCACGTTGGATCAGAAACACGAGAAAGTTTCCTGCGCTTTTAGACAAATACCAGCAACTGCTTTTTTCCTCCTGTGTAACTTTTCAGTTTTAAATTTATTTGTAACTTTTGTACTATACCAGAATCATAGCTGGATTCTCATTACTTCCAAAAGACTTGTGTTAACCCTCTCCTGATGACAGCTTCTAATTATATTTTAAATTTAGAGTGAGGACAACTGTAGCCTCTCGTTTTCTCAGTTACTTTGAAAAAGGAGCCATGAGCCTGGCCTTGCTAACCCAGGCAGTGGGTGGAGGCTGGCCTTCCTGTAGAGTCCACCCTGTGTGCAAAGCCAAGAATGACTTCCAGTCTGTTTTGGCTTTAAGTTGAGTCAGAGCCCATCCTTCTCGAGAACCCTGATAGAGCTCATGGGCAACACTGCCACATGTCTCAGCTGTTGACAATGCTGCCAGACTGATGTTTTCAGATGGACACTCACTTGCTTTCTTGGCTGACTGTGAAAAGATTCCTGGGCCCTTGCTCGCTGCTCTGTGGCCACTCTGGCAGGTAAGCAGAGTCACTGCAGAATGATTTTGGATGTTGAGGGGCATTTATGTGTGTGAACTTTCCTTCAGGGATTGTGGGTTGAAGTGACCATATTTAGGTCAGTATTTTGGGAAAGAAGAAACGAGCCAGCTGGAAGTGAGTTCTGTTGGAGGGAGTGAACATTATATGGAGGAAGATGAAAGCCAAGAGAGTAAAAGGTAAAGGAAAAGAGAGAAATACCTCCTATTTAATGAGTTTTGACTTCATGCCAGGTACTCTGTGGAGTGCTTGGCATGGACTGTATCCTGAGATGTAAGAACTGTCTCCTTATTTAACACAAAAATATTAAGTAACTTGACAGCGGTCTCTACTTGGTAAGTGAGAGAGGTGGGACTCAGGCCCATGTTGTTAACCGTACCATACAGTGGGGAGGATAACCGCTTGGCCACTCGGGCCTTTTATAGCTATCTCTAAAATGTAATCAAAAATAGTTAAAGTTGGAAGAAATTTGGGGGACCAACTAATCCAACTCCTCTTTTAGACAGATGCAAAAAGAGACTCAAAGAGGGAGAGTGGCAGTGCTTGGTCAGCATAACACTTCTTATTAGAGCTGAACTGAGAACAACTCTCCAGTTGCCTGAATCCCTATTGAATGGTCTTGGGCTAGCTGGCTCCAGGATTTCATAGCTGTCGAACTTGTTTTTTTTTTTCATGAAAACAAGCCCCCATCTCCACTTCCCCTGGGGTAGACTTCTGTTGCAGAACAATATTTTTCATATTGGCTCAAATAGCTTGTGTCTGGGAGATGCGCATCATGCCCATCTCTAAGATAACAGGAAATGAGAACTGGGACGTATGACTTAGTCTTTTTCATCAAGTGCCAAGAAGCTGCTGACTCATCACGTCAGCCCATTGCTCTGAAACTCCTCTTTCCCAGGTCACCATTGGTCTCATAATTACTAAATTCAAAGAACATTTTTCTAGCCTTAGTTTACACATGGCACTTGATATTATTCGTCAGTAACAGAGTTTCATGAAACTCTCTCCTCCTGTGACATCCCCTCTCCTAGTTTTTCCTTGTTTGTTTTTTCCATTCCTCTTCATTCTTCTTTCTGAGATGCTGTTTTCTGCCTGTCCCTTAAATTTAATTTTTTTTTTGTCAAATTCTGGCCTCAGCTCTCTGCGCCTCTCTTTCTATAAGCTGTTCCTGGTCATCCTGTTTAAATGAATCAGAATTCTTCCTAAGACCATAATAAAGGCTCCCCTTATCCATTTTCATTTTACAACTTTACTTCATCTCCAAAATTCTTGGCGACAACTATAGTCAGTGAATGGAAATGGATAAAAATAAAGCTGGACCTCTATGTCCAGCGACAAGTTCAGAAAAATGAGACATTGGGTCAGTTAGGGTTATCTGTTTTGATGAAAGCCGAGCAGAATCTAACCAGCAAGCTTAGGATGAAGAGGATTTAGGAAGAAACCTGTCCTAGGTAATCTGGGCAAGATATATCGATAAAGTGCAATTTGCTCACAACATTCAGCAGGAATCAGTGGACTTGATATTTAACTAATAAAAAAATAATTGTAAAATAATGTGTAATTTTGAGAACTATAACTTGAGGGGAGGATTGGAAGGGGCTGAGTTCTAGTTGGGGTTGGGGGGCCAGTATTTTATTTCAGAATCTATGACTCCTTCATGGCCCCTGGCTGACATGGCTTGTTAACAAGTCAGTCTTACTTCCAAAGCTTATTGATTGACGCTTTTCTTTTGTAGTTTGCCCACATTGCACCAAAGGACTGGATACCTAATTTTACCTTTCTTTTTGTAACTTTATAATGTTCTTAAAGCATCCCACCATAATTACGAAAGACACTGTGGGGACTCTGGCTCTTGTTAAAATTAACCGACCCTGTGTGAGGCTCTACCGTAGGGTGGCATGTGTTATGACCACGAACAGCAACTGCGTCACATCTGGTTTTGCTTGGTCTGAGACTGCCACAGGTGACTGGCTTGATCAATTAACCCACAGAAACTCAGAGGTGGGGGGGTCTAAGGTGGTACACAGCCATGAAGTCCTTAAAACTTGCTTTCTTTTCATTTAACGGATGAAAAATGGCTACTTTCCTAAACTGTTAGTATTCTGGAAAACAAAATTTAAAATTTAGCTAGCCATAGAAACAGGTATTGGTTTGAAGTAATGTTAGGTTTAGCTGGAATATGTCAAAAGCAAAGACTAGACTGTGAGGCTGGATCCACTTCTTGCACAGGATGCTTAACTTTTTCTTCTGTTTAAATTTCTTCTCCGTGTTGATCTCTTTCCCATGTAGAACAATACTACGTAAGGAGAAGTCTAAATCTTTCTCTCCCTGGAATCTCAAGGACAGGAAGAGAAGGGAATGAATTTCTGCTTATCATTTCAAGCAAACCTGAACTTAAGGAACCCATCTTCTTCTCTTCCTTTTTCCTTTCCTTCTTCTCTCCCTCCCTCTGACTCTTCCTTCCTTCCACACAGTTACAAGTGCCCTAGATCATCATTAGTTCTAAATCCAAAAACCCAATGTTGCATAGATCAGAGGCCTCAGAGATGTCCCTGGGACCTCTGATTCTGTAGGCAAGGACTGTGAGTTCTAGAGAGTGGAGAGCGGAACTAGACTTAGGTCTCTTCCTTGTTCCGTTCTGTCTTGGAGGAGACTACAAGAGGCATCGACACTCACTTTTGGAAAGATATCTATCAAAACCCTCCATAGGCTGCTTTATTTTTTCTGTTGTGAAGGTTATTAAAACCAACAGAGGGAAGTCATGATTGCCCTCCACTACTCACCAACAAACAGCTGGCTGTAGAGTTCCAGGCGGGTGTGGCCTTCTGTTGGGGCCTTGCGAATCTGCTGCGGCAGCCGGTCCACCTGTAGGCTGGCCTGCTTGACATTCCTCTCTGCGGTGACCCGGTGCCACTGGTCATCATTGAGAGGGGAGGGCGCCCGCACCACAATCTCCACCGGCCCATTTCCGACATCAAATGAAAAGGACACTTCTGTGGCAGCTGGAGGAGCAGACAGCGTTAAAGGCACATGAGTATTTTCCTCCTAGATACTAAATAGCAGTAAATTCTAGAGGAAAAACAAAGCAGGGAAAGAAAAATAATCTAAGCCCATTACTTGGTACAAAAGTGTAGAGCAAAATCATTCCAGGAAGGATAAAACATCAATCCATTATTAACCATTAATAACCAAGGGGAGGAAAATAAACTTGGATTGGGGGCCAGTGATTTTCTACTTAGTCTTTAGAAGCCTATCTTTCCAGATAAGGAAAACGAGGTGTGGAGAAGTTAAGCACATGTTGAGTGTCTTAGATTTGGTGAGTAGTGGAGTCAGGATCTGAACTCAGGCTTGTCAGATTTCAGAGCCTGAGAGCTTTTGATTCTACACACAACGTAACTTGTCAATAGCTCCTAGGGTAGTGACTGGTACCTGGAGAGCTTTATGAAATACCCGTGTCCAGCTCTATCCCTGGAGATGCTGGCTCAGTTGGTCTGGGGTAGGCACTGGTATTTTTAAAAGCTCCCTGGAAACTATTGATGTATAGTTAGAGTGGAGAGCTCTTGCTTTGGGGGAATTCACAAAACTGTATTTCATTAATCTAATCATTGTGGCTCCTATTGAAAGTTAGGGAGCTATGAATTGCTGAGGCAATGAAGGTGACCTGCATCTTTTTTGAATAACTCGTGGCTTTCTAAAAGACTCCCACAGAATAACCCCTTTCTGGAATCATTCATAACCCATCGGGATGCTGGATCCTTCTCAGAACCTCGCCTCTAGCACTGACCACAAATCATCCTTTTTTCATAGATCTGCTCCAAATCAACCTCCTGTAATAAATCACCTCTCAATAATGGAAAGCTGGATTAGTTGGTTGCTTTGGTAACTTGGGTGGTAAGCAGCTTTCTTACTTCACATTTTAGGTTTTAAGTTCTTCAGTGACCACCTAGTGCTTTATAAACATGTCTTTTAAATGTATATTTTTCTTGCAATTGGCAAGAGAGGCAGCCTAATGCTGAGGCAGCACACACATCCCTGCTCCCTTAGGCTCGGTGAATTCCTTTCCACACTAAAGATGTGGCACACCAGCGCATTTCCTAACTTTGCTTATAAAGACATTCAGCCCCTCTACCTATCAATAATCCTTCTGCCTAATCTCTAAGGGGTTTAATTAAATATCTGTCATTTTTTCCCCCAGGCTAATGGAAAATTCAGCTTCTTTGGATTGGTACCATTTTGAGATGATGTCGCAAACAATCAAACTTCTAATTTAAAAACCGCAGTGGGCTAGATTCTCTCAGGACCTAGACCGTTTCCTGACTCTGAGTCAGGCCCCTCTGAAAGCTGCATTAACTTTATTCAGCTACAGGGATGTTAAATGCAAGCTCAATTTCATCAACTTAATTGTACCAAGGAATTTTGATCTTTTATGTCATTAGAAAGAGAACTTTAATTTTAACACCTGTGGTGATTCCATAAGTGTTCCGGTAAAATATCTCCTCTGAATTACGAGCTCCTGCCTCCTGGGGTCACTGTGACTCGATGGAGGCCAGTGACCTACATCAACGTTTCTACGGAAGTATGATCAGAATGACTCATGGACTGAATGACCTTTCCCTGTATTTCTGGCACAGTCAACAGGGTAAAAAATAGCCTGCATTTGAAGATCGAATCTGTGCTGTTCTTGTGGTGCTGTTTTAGCAGATGCATTTTTAAACGTAAGTTGTCAGAATAGCATGAGAACAAGGGCTCCTGAGCTAAGTACGAAAGATTGTTTCATTTTAAAGGCATCAACAGCCATCAGGGAAATACAATTGAGGGATAAATTGAGTTTAACCCTGAGGTTTGACTTGGAGGGATAAATGCTGCTCAAATTTCCTTCACTCCTCTTTTCCTGCTCTGATGAATTCTTGTCCAGGTCTTTAAATTGTCACCACTTGGAAAAACCCTGAGTATCAGCAGTTAACTAGAAAATATCCATACTTTTTCCCCCGCTTGTCACACTAGATCCCCCATTTCTTCCTTTAGACCACGGTCTTCTTAACATCAACGTTTCACTCTAGAGAAGGAAAGAAAGTCTCCGGGATCCTCCTGTAGCTCAGTCCTCTGACCCCAAGTGGGTGCAGTAACAGAGACTCACGGTCAAGGGCCTCCGAGAGCCGAATCTTCCTTAAAGAGCCTACATTCAGGCTCTGTTGAAAAAAAATTCACAACTTTAACACACTCCACTTCCCTTCTCTTGCTTCCTGAGAAAGGGGGCTGCAAGGCCCAGTGTGAGAGTGAAGGAAAGGCTCCTTTTTCTCAGTCATTAGATGTCAGCTTCCCCGACGCTGCTAAGGGATGCCTTTGAGAACGTTCAGTTTGTGGCTGATTGCTCTTGGTCTTCTGGGTGACAGGAACTGACATTTAAAAGAGATAATTACAGAGACAGTCAGTGAGCAAATAGAAGGGAGGCAGCATAAAAGACCAGAGCCAATGACACTGTTCTTACTGAATGTGTGTCTCCAGTTGGAGACTGAAGTATTGTCCTGTTTCTGCCTATGGAAAAGGAATTACTTACACACTGAAACTATTCTTATTTCCAGCAATAAGTATTTGAGAATTGGATATAACTAGCGTGGCTCATTGGAAAAAACACTGCAGCAAACACTAATGGTTGCTTTTCTGTTAGTATCAAGAACAAGGAAGTACCTGGGATTTTACCCAACTTGCAAACTAACAAATTAGCCTGCTATAGTTTCATAGAGGCTGGCAGAAGACAAGAGACTCCTGGGTCAGAGACAAAGAGCTTTATTATTCTCAGCACTGCAGGCAGCATGAGCTTCATATCCACATATTCTCTTGTCCCCCAAGTCTCATGGAGGCCATGTGGAGCAGCCCAGATGGATGCTGTGTATGCAGTGAGTTTGTGGAACCCTGAACTTGGGTACCCTGAACTTGGGAAACCCCAGTCTTTTAAAGTGGCTGCTAGCAAACCTGCTCAACTTTTGCCCTGGGGAGACATTAGCTTTGTTATCCTGGTCAGGAAACAAATCTACCCTCTGATCCGGAGGAAGACACTCTCTATCTTCCAAGGATGTTTGCTATACACACATCCTTAAAAATATAGGAACAAAGCTGTCAATGCCTGTTGCTTAGAAGATAAGCAGAAATGGGAGGGACCCATGGAGAATTTTCCCCCAACAGTTAGCTACTTACTCCCTCCTTTTCCTTGTGAGCTGACTCAGTTTTGCCCAAGAAACTATGTGCTTCCATATTACCTTATGTTTCAGGTAAGGATGGCCCTACCCCGGGCCCAGAGAGTGAATCTGGATTTGTCTAAGTCAAACACGACAAGTACATGCTCTTTGCCAGTAACCCACTTAAGATGAGACCTATCATTTCCTCCTGGCAAGACATGAGGGGAGTCTTTAGGGGCCCTGTGGGATTATTAGCTCATAAGAGAAGAGATAGTCCCTTTTCTGTCCGTTGATCTTGAGTGGAGGTTGTGGTTCCTAGTGTTGCTGGAACCATCTTGCAAACATCAGACACTCTGAGGAGAACAGGGAGGGCAATGGGATGAACCTGGGTCTTTGGTGACACTGTTCAGCCTCTAAATTATTCCCAGAGACACCTCAAGACTTCGTATGTGAGATATACATTCTTGTTTAAGCCATTTTGTATAGCAGTGGAAAGCATCTTAACTGATGTTGGGAATGGTTTGGGAATCAGTATATATGAGTTCTAGTCTTAACTTTGCCTTTTCACCTTTTTGGGTCTCAGTTTACCGGTGTCTGAAATGAGGATTACACCTATAGTTTTACAAAAGTTTCTGTCTCCAAAATGTGTTTGAAAACACTGAAGTAGATGATCTCTAAGGACTCTTCAAATGCCAACATTCTCTCATCAATTTCCAAGAGATTCTAAGTGAAATAATAAAATGAAATATAGCTAGTCTTAATGGTAGTTTTAGATATTGAATCATTACAGGGAGAAATTAAAAGAGAAATGTATAACGTGGCACATTGGCATCAGATATGAGTATAGATGGCAGAAATTACCTTTGAATAAATCTGGACTATGACTTGGTCTGAGTGCGTTAAAACAATAAATGAGTCAAAACCATGGACAGCTCTCAGTATTTCCAGCCGCCCCCCCCCCTGCCCACTTTCATGTGTAATTCCAGCAGGTGGCACTATTTGCTCTCATTCTAACTCATCACAAATTTTCTCAAATCACTCCAGGCTTAATGTATTGAGTGACAAATTTAACAACTGACAGAATAGTAGACTTTTTGGCTCTGAGTTCTCCCAGCAGGTGAGGTAATATTTAGACATTAGACTCAAAGTGTCAGTTGGAAGCAGCAGAAAAAATTTGGTTGTTCAATTTAGAATAGGTAAAGAGAAGAGATAGGGAAAGATACACACATAGTGAGCATGCTGAGAAGACCAGGTAACACTGTTGCAGTTTTGATAACGATTTATTTCTTCCATTTTAAAATGAAGTTCAGGGACTGAGAGCTTCCAAAGGGCTATTCTGTGCAAAATCTCATTTGACCCACAAAACAACACTGGTAACAGGCAGAGCAGAGATTTTAGCTCCACTCCACAGTGGAAAATGTTATGAATATATTTTTTCTTTTTCTTTTTTATGAAGGAAGGACTAAGTGTACATCAGGAAACAAAAGCATGTATGCACCATGAGAGAGTTGTAAGAAGAGACTGAAAATGAGGTCACTGTGGGAATCAGAGAGATGAGGAAAAGGAGAAGAGGTAAACAGGATACCTGTTCCTATCTAAGGCCAAGGGGTCCATCTCTACACTGGACGGCATCCATCCCTTCTTATCTACTCAAGGACATCACTCCAGCAATTCTCCTCTCTCTTCTACAACATCAATAATTGGTTCTCTACTGGATCATTCCACATGAACATGTTGCCATGCCTCTGTTCTTCTTATTTTTTTTTCCCTGAGGAAGATTAGCCCTGAGCTAACATCTGTGCCAGCTTCCTCCATTTTGTATGTGG